CCAGAGCGCGCAACCCCACCCCGCCCCCCAGAGCGCTGCTTTACCACGTTATATCCGAATTTGTGTTATATCGGGTCGTGTTATATTGGGGTAGAGGTGTACCTACCATATCAGGCAACTTAGATGGCTGAACACCTGTCTTCCCGTGGTTTGTGAATCACTCTGGGGCTTAGGTGGATGATAGGTGTCTGGAGACCCAGAGAGAGGAAGCAGTACACATATCCTGCAGAGACAGGAACATACGTGGCTAGGGAACTTGTACTACAAAAACTTAGGTGCCAACTGAGTGTAAGCACCTGCAAGCTTCAGCAGAAGTTTTGTGCATCATAGTGGTGCCAGAACTGGGACTTAGGGACTTAGCTCCTTTTGTGCATCCAGACTTTACCTAACAACTTCTAGGAGTTGTTGGCTTTTACATACTAACCCTTTCATAGGTGTCCCATACGATACACAGAATTTCTTGATTTTAATAAGGCTGTAAATAAGAAATTGTCTAGCACCTTTTGTCTGAAAACCTATAAGAACTTTAAAATATTAAATAACACTCTCAAAACCTCTGTGAAGTAGGCAAGTAATATCCCAATTTTAAAGATGTGGAAACTGAAGTAAACAGAGTAAATGCTTCTCATTGAGTCAGTAGTGGAGCCAAGAATAGAACCCCAATCATCTGATTCCCAGTTCAGTGTATTAACCCCAGAACAGTCCTACACTTCACTGGAACTTCTTGCAGTGCTTAAGTTTCTGTTGAAACTAAGAGATGCAGATGCTTGTGAAAATTTTAAGAATAAGCAAATAATAAATTAAACAAACTCTTTCAAACTTCAGTTTTGAGTTCAATTTCAGTTTGGGAAATGTTCTTCCATTTTTAGTTAGCTGAGATTTTGTTCATACTTCATATCTTAGCGTTTAAATGAGGGCAATTTCAGAATGGTAGGACTAACGTAAAACAATGCAGAAATGTGTAGATTTTTGAGATGCTCAACAATCCATTTGAGATTGGTTTGGGGTTCTATTTCTGTGCACTTCAGTTTCTCTGAGAGAGAAACATATCACTGCATTGATATAATTGCATGCTATGGATAAAACTTGTTTTAAAAGGAATTAGTAAAAAACAAAATGGGACTCCTGAGTTGGTTTTATGAAAAAGCCATCTCCAGCACCGTATCAAAGACTGACACTCACACACATGAACTTCACAAGGAGCAATTGCTGACACTTTAATTTGTGGTAGAAGCTTTGAGTTCATAGTACTTGATATCTAAAGGGTTAACTACTGTAGTGAGGGCAAAGTAGTTATTTTGGAAGTGTTTCATGGCTGTTTAAGGGTAAGTTAAACCTTTACAAGGCTGCATGCTGATAAAACAGACAGAATGATGTGTCCCTGAGCATAAATCTCTGCTTCCTCCTGTGAAACTAAGTACTCATTGACCACTGCAGAATTCGAAATGATTCCATCTGTCACTTTTTAAACAGCAAATAAATCTTCATGCTATTAGTTTTCCTGTGATGTGGCAGCTGTTGTTTTCAATATGGGTAAACAATAAATGAGGTTCTTGATATATGCTAATCCAGTAAGAACAAATTAGCCTGTGTCACATCAGCCAGGGGGGAGGAGGCGGGAGCTGCTTATACATTAGACAGTTTGTTTCATTTACATATATCATTGGTATTAGAAATGAAGAGAAAAAAAATACCAAAAAAAGTTCATCTTTTACAGGTATGAGTTAAAACTATATCATCCAAATTCTGTGCTAAAATTGAAAGTCACATTGACTTCAATGGGAGTGGTGCGTAAATACAAATCTGAGAGCTGGGTTCACTCTTGGTTGTTTGTTTGTATTGTGGTAGCACTTAGAGACCCCAGCCCCACTGAGCTACGTCCTGTTCAGCAGGTGTGGGTGTATCCGGTTTCTTTTTTCATATTTCCCTTAACTGTGTTGCCCGTCAGCTTTAATCGTGGCCACATTTCAGGCAGCATCAACATTCCATTTGGCTCAGCATTCACCACGGAAGGAGAGCTCGTCCAGTGCCCTGCTACTGCCACGCTCCAGAGCTTCAAAGGAAGAGTTGTTGTGATTGTAGGACATGTGGTGAAGAACACGGCTTCTGTAAGTTTATAGCTATAACATATACTAACTCTAAATACATTTATGGAGGATAAGTCCATCAGTGGCTACTAACCAAGGTGGGCAGGGATGGTGTCCCTAGCCTCTGTTTGCCAGAGTCTGGGAGTGGGCGGCAGGGGATGGATCACTTGGTGCTTACCTGTTCTGTTCATTCCCTCTGGGGCACCTGGCATTGGCCACTGTTGGAAGACAGGACACTGAGCTAGATGGACCTTTGGTCTGACCCAGTATGGCCTTTCTTAAATAATGTCCAGGGCCTGAATGTTAATTTTCAGGCTCCAAAAAATAAATATCCCTGTCTTTTACTTGGGAAATTGATGCCAAACACACGTTTTGGGAAGCCCTGATTTGTGTAGGGTGGTTTGGTGGGTTTTTTTGCCTCTTTCCAGTTAAAGAGAAAAGGATTTGTATTTCTTTTAAACATTCAATGTCTGGAAAATGTCAGTGTTTGATGAAAAGGGATTGCTAAAAAAGAGATAATTGTCTCACAGCTTTAAAAAGTGCATTTTCAAAATGGCCAGTTTCTGAATTTGCAATAGAGAGAGCTAGTTTTGTGAAATGGCTTGGTCTTCTTGCCATCTCTGTAGAATTATAAAATGGAACATCCATGAAAAGGGGGAATAAAGAAGAACGGTTTCAAGTCTAAAGAAAATGAAAAATTATACCCAGCCAGGAAGAATACTGGCACTTACTGATCAGGCTTTCAATATTCTGGGCATCCTTGGGTCAGTCTGCCCCAAGCGCTAAGGAGAAAAAGGCACATCCCTTTAAATATGCTGCTGTCGCTGACAGTGGTGAAGTGTCTCTGTTCTTCTTTGAGTGCTTGCTCATATGGATTCCAATTAGGTGTCGGAGAATTTTTACCCTAGCAACACCTGGTGGGTCAGCTGTGGAGCCCCCTGGAGTGGCGCCTTCATGGTGCTCGATATATACCGCAGCCGACCCAGCGCCCCCTCAGTTCCTTCTTACCACCCGTGACGGTCGTTGGAACTGTGGAGTCCTGCTTCGCTGTTCTCCACTCTCCCTAGCGTATGCCTAATAGTTGATAGTTATAGTTGTTTGATAGTTATAGTTGATTTACTTAGTGTTAGTGGGGTTGGGGGGTCTTTCCCCTCTTCCCCAATTCTTCTCTTGGGCTCATGCCAAGGCTCCGGGATTCAAGCCCTGCAGTTCCTGCTCTAAGCCCATGCCAACGGGCGACCCCCATGACTCTCTTGCCTGAAGTGTCTGGGGGAGTCTCATCAAGCAGAGAAGTGCAGGATCTGCAAAGGGTTTTGACCCAGTCTAAGAAGGAGTGGGACTTTCGTTTAAAGCTGCTCCTCATGGAGGCAGCTCTTAGCCCTCAGCCTCCTGCGGCGCGCCAAGATCTGGCACCGCTCCCCGGCACCGCAACCGACATCATCGTCCCAGCACTGCTCCCATTCTCCTGGCCAGAAGCGACACCGGAAAAGGATGGCCCACCTCCACAGAGACCAGCCTCCCTGGAACTGCCCATGGAGACGCATCCCACAGGGGAGGCATCTAGGGGCACAGCTTACGGCTTCAGCACCGTTGACTCCGGCCCCGAGGGGAGAGCCGTTGAGTCTGGTACCCCTGGACTCCCCGACACGCAGCTAAGGTCCAGTTGCTGTCTACCCCGGATACTTTTGCAGCTGCAAGGGATCTTATTGCCATGATGGCATCAACATCCCCTCAGCTACATGCCAAGGCACCGGTGCCTGTACGTGCGGCACTGTCCCGGGGCAAGCTGGCCCTAATCCACCCATCGGCACCATCAGTCAAGCTGCCGCAACGATCCCGTTCTCAACATTGTTCCTGCTCCCGCCACCACTCGCAGTCCCGGCGCCACTCTCCTTGGCGGCGCCGGTTGTACTCGCGGCACCGCTCCGACTCCAGTCGCCAGTCCTGGTACCGCTCTGCCCACCGGTCGTTGTCGAGGAGCAGATCCCGGACCTGACGCCGCTCTCATCTGGTCATCATCTGGGCCCAGATCCAGGTGCCGTTCCAGGTCCCGGCGCCGCTCCCCAGCATCGCGGCACCGTTCCCCATTGCCTCGTCGACATGACCCAGTGCAGATCTGCTCGGCTCCACTGTGGCCCTCACGTTCTGCTTCTTGTTCTTTGGTCACATTTCTCAGACCGTCGCCATTTGGATCATAGCCGTCTAGAGTCAGGGGCTGGGCCTTGGCAGGCGCAGGAGCAGGGTCCCGCTCAAGGGCCCATTCTGGCCATTTTGGATGTCCTGGGCGTTACCACCAGGCCCAGGGTGCTCCATCTGGGGCTTCTCAATCAGCCCTGTCCGAGCCACGAGTGCCAGAGGCTACCATCAGTCAGCCCACCCCAGTGGGCATGGAGACTGTGGCGGCTCTTCTCCCTGCTGCAGGATCTTCTCCAACACCGATTCCTAGTCCGGGCCCTGAGATCGCTGGCACAGGACAGCCGGCCCCGGCTCCGCAAGGCGATGAGGCGGTGGCAGGCACTACAGTCTCGGGTCCCCCTCCAATAGACCTCCGTGCCCACCAGGACCTCCTGCACAGGGTGGCATGGAATATGAACCTGCAGGCGGAGGAGGTGATAGAGGTGGAGGACCCTGTGGTGGATATTCTGTCTGCGGAAGCTCCATCAAGGGTGGCCCTACCCCTTATTCGGACCATCCAAACCACCACCAGGACAATCTGGCAGACACCTGCATCCATCACCCCGACTGCTAAGGGAGTGGAGCGGAAAATACTTTGTCCCCTCGAAGGGGTATGATTATCTGTTCAACCACCCACTGCCCTGTTCGCTGTGAACAAATAAAAAAGAACGGCATGGCCAGCAGGCCCCAGCACCCAAATCAAAGGATGCCAAGCACCTTGATTTGTTTGGGCGCAAAGTTTATTCCTCAGGGGGACTTCAGCTCAGGATCGCTAATCAGCAGGCGCTCCTGAGTCGTTACAATTTTAACTCCTGGAACTCCATGCTGAAGTTTAAGGAGTTAGTACCTCCAGAGTCCAGAGAAGAGTTTGGGGCTTTGGCGGAAGAAGGCAAAACAGTGGCACGGCCCTCCTTGCAGGCCTCGCTGTATGCTGCGGACTCCGCCGCACGTACTTTGTCCTCAGGGATCGCGATGAGGTGTATCTCCTGGCTGCAAGCCTCTGGCCTGCTACCGGAACTTCAGCAAACACTGCAGGACCTCCCCTTTGATGGAGAGGGCCTGTTTTCGGAAAAGACCCATTCAAGGCTACAAAGCCTTAAGGACTCAAGGGCGATAATGAAGTCCCTGGGCATGCACACACCGGCTACCCAGCGGAAATCCTTCAAACCCCAGCAGCCGCAACAATGCTCCTATCCTCCTCCTCGGCTGAGTCAGGATTTCTATAGGAGGCGGGGGCGTAATGGCAGGAGGAAGCCCTCCAACCCCCAGTCTGGGCAAGGCCAGGGTCTGTCCAAGTCTTTGTCAGGCTCAAAATAGGCCTTTTGAAAGGATGCCCGAGGACGATGTACCGGACTTTGTTCAGGATCCTACCCCACCTTTCTTGAATTGTTTATCCCATTTCCACCATGCTTGGTCTCACATAATCACAGACTGCTGGGTTCTCTGCACGGCGGAAGTGGGATACTTTCTCCAATTTTCTTCCTCCCTGTCCCTCTTCAGGGACCCTTCTCACGAGGAACTCCTTATTCAGGAGGTTCAGATGCTCCTCGCCATGGGGGCGATCGAGGAGATTCCGAGGGAGCTAAGGGGCAGTAGGTTTTACTCTCGATACTTCCTAATCCCCAAGGCAAAGGGTGGGCTTTGGCGCATTCTGGACCTGCGTGGACTCAACAAGTTCATGGTAAAGTTGAAGTTCCGCGTGGTGGTCTTGGGCACCATTATACCTTCCCTGGAGACTGGTACGCAACCCTCAACATGAAGAACGCGTATTTTCACATAGCGATTCATCCGGCACACAGACGCCTCCTCCGCTTTGTGGTCAACCACGAACACTATCAGTTCACTGCCCTTCCCTTCGGTTTCTCCACGGCTCCCCAAGTGTTCACCAAATGTATGGCAGTCATGGCAGCCTTCCTTTGTCGACGGCGGGAGCATATATACCCTTACCTCGACGACTGGCTTATCCGGGGACGCACCAGAGAACAGGTGCAGTCCCACCTCTGCTTGGTCACGGACACGTTTAGTCGGTTAGGCCTCCTTCTCAACGTGGCAAAGTTGACACTAGAACCGACCCAGAGAATAGAATTCATTGGGGCAGTTCTGGACTTCGTGCTGGCACGAGCCCTCCTGCCGGACGCTCATTTCCAGGCTATAATGGGCCTTGTCCGGAGCCTTCAGAGCTTCCCAACCTTGTCAGCAATGCGTCTTCTCAGCCACATGGCTTTCTGCACATACATGACCAGGCACGCCAGACTTCGACTCCACCCGTTACAAGCCTGGCTAGCATCAGTGTATCGCCCAGGTTGAGACAGCCTGAACTTGATGGTCACTGTCCTGGTGCAGGTCCTGGTCTCCCTCCGCTGGTGGTAAATCCCCGGATGGTATGTGAAGGAGTCCCTTTTCGCAGCCTACAGTCCTCCTTGTTCCTGGTCACGGATGCGTCAGCCCTGGGATGGGGTGCCCACCTCAGGGACATTCAGACGCAGGGCCTATGGCCCCCGTCCGTGCTCTCCCTTCATATCAACGTCCGGGAGCTGATGGCGGTGCGCCTTGCCTGTCAAGCCTTCCAGGAGTGGCTGCAGGGTCATTGTATGGCGGTCCTCACAGACAACACCATGGCCATGTTCTATATCAACAAACAAGGATGGGGCCCGTTCCTCCCCCCTCTGTCAGGAAGCCATTCGACTGTGAGAATTCCGCATAGCCCACTCCATTCACCTGGTGGTGTCCTTTCTACCCGGGGTCCAGAACACGCTGGCGAACCACCTGAGCAGGTCCTTCCACTCCCATGAGTGGTCGCTTTGACCAGATGTCATCCACCCCATCTTCCAAAGGTGGGGGTTTCC